TCGGGCATGGGGTTCGTGCTTGGAGGACGGGCTCAAGTTGTCCTCACTGGTCACACAGACGCTTCTTGGGCTGACGACTTGACTACGCAGCGGTCGTCACAGGGTTACACCTTCAGCCTTGGCTCCGGCTCTGTCTCTTGGCGGTCTACCTGCTTGTCTTCTGTTCTCAGCTCCAGTTGTGAGGCTGAGATCTATGCAGGGGCCATGGCTGCACAGGAGTTACGCTGGCTCACCTACCTGCTGACCGACCTGGGAGAGCCGCCTCGTTCTCCTCCAGTACTTTACGTCGACAACAAGGCCATGATTGCCTTGTGTCAGGAGCACAGACTGGAGCACAGAACGAAGCACATCGCTCTGCGCTACTTCCTTGCTCGAGAGTTGCAGCAGCGTGGTCAGCTTCGTCTAACTTACGTGGCCTCTCGGGCCAACACTGCTGATGTTTTCACCAAGGCACTTCAGCCTTGTGATCATCAGTGTTTCTGTACTGTTCTAGGCCTTGTACCTACTGTGCCTCACTTGCTTACTTCTTGACTCTGCTTGTACTGTGATCTCTATACATATACCTGCATGCTTACACTTGCTAGGTTGTGTTCACTGTATTGTTTGTTCTCCTTTATATAACTCTTTATGTGAACTGGCCTTGTGGCCATTTGCTTGTGCTCAGAATGCGTGGTGACGTCGTGATCCACCCTGAGCTTGCTTTGCCTTTCTTGACCGGTCTTGTGACCTCTTGTTCTCCCCCAATTTGCCTATGGGGGTGTGTCAAACTTATATGCTATAGTCTGACTAGGCTGTAGTGGGGTAGTTCATATAGGGTACAACACTTTTAGGTTTCCTACTTGTACCCACCTGCTTGCTAGTTCAGTCATTCCTTCCTTCACAATTCTGACACATCTGGCCCCTAAAGGCTGAAAAATCAGTCCTTCAAAAAGCTGAACACTGAAAAATCAGGGTAGGTACAAAAAAATCCCTGAAAATCAGGAATTTCAGGGGAAAATTCATGATATCGTAGGGCCTGCTTTCCTCCCCTCTGACCCTCAGACGGGATAGTTATGGCAACAGCACAGAACTCGGTCCCACATTCACCCACGTGTCACAAATTTGAGAAAATTAGAGAACGCAGGGCAGAAAAACATAAAACCCATAGGGAACTTGGACTCATTTTCGGGAGGGATCAACCCTAAACACGGGGCGGCGGAATTCTTTTTAGGGTTTATGCCTCCCCGAGACGCATCCCTTTATGATTGGGTTTTACCTTAATCACCCGGATATACCACCCGCCGAAATTGTAGACCCCCCGGGTGGCTTGTGCGGGGTGGGTGTTATAGTTGACCTCGTTTGTACTATACCCCCCCTTTTGGGGTGATTCTTTATAAGACCCGGGGGGAGGGTGTTATGTCAGGCAAAAGTTCTCATTAGAGGTAGATTTCATAGATCTAGGGGTGCAATCTACTACCTACTAAGATTACCGCCATCAAGAACCAAGAGTTTCACATAAACATCAAGATCATCTACCACCCAGAGATCATGAATTGCAATACGGTGCTATCTACTCATCATCGTCCCCTGCATGCCATTCTTCAACCTCTTCTCCGTCAAAGCGGCCGGGACGCCACCAGTCATCATCATCGCTGCACTCCCCCGCCTCCTCGCCGTCTGCAGGCCCAACCCCCTCCTCGTCTTCCGCCTCCGCCTCCGCCTCTGCGGCGTCATCCTCCTCTTCCACCTGTAGCTCCTCGGCCGGCATGGGGACTTCAGCGTAGAAGGGGTTGACGACAGTCTCGTCGTCAACCATCTCGTTGACGTCGTCCAGCACCTCCACCTCACCCTTGTCCCGCATGTGGGCAAGGATGAGGTGGTCTTCGGTGCCGTCGATGCTGGTGGAGATCCCGCATGTGACGAACGCCTTCTTCACGAGCTCTTCTGGAACAGCTTCCCAGGATTCGTCGATCCAGCGGAGAACCGTCTCCGCAGGCGGCTTTTGCAGATTGCCTGTGGTAAGGGAAGAAGTTTACATTCACGATTGAGGACTTGCAAACCGAGCCATAGTTGGGACATATGCATGCACAATAGCCAGCCTCGCGGAAATGCAAGTTGAGGCATCAACTCACCTGCACGCGTTGTCAGGTTGATGCCGTCTTCTTCGAACCACGTGCTGTAACGGTGACGCACACCGCATTTAAACGCGCGGTTGATCGATACATCCAACGGCTGCACAAGCGGTGTGCACCCCCCTGGGATGACCGCCCTCGACAGCCTGAACATGCGCATCGTCTGACCAACAGCTTCGGTCAAGTGGCCGCGGTATGAGTCCAGCACCACCAAGGCCTCCCTTCGGCGTCCGGTAGTCTCTCGCAGAGGCTTCATAAACGGCACAAGCACCTGCGTGATCCAGTCCTGCACAAGAGACTCATCTATCCATCCCTTCTCTTGTGCACGGACCACCACACCTGTCGAAAACAACGCGAGCGTCAGAGTCCCGCGGGTTTGATAGAGAAGCAGGCAATAGCACGGGTTGAGGCGTGGTTTGGTTCACTTACCGGCAGGAATGGCCACTTTCGGGACGGTCTTCCGCTTGAACACAACGTAGGGGGGAAGCTTCAGCCCTCCCGCCGTTACTGCCAGCATAACAGTAACGCGTTCCTTCTGGTAGCCCGCAGACCGCACGTGTACCGTCCGCGCTCCCTTCATTTCGATTGTACGTTCCGCCGGCATCTCTAGGAAAAGCGGAGTCTGATCGGCGTTCACGATCAGATCGAGTGGGTAGTCATGCAGAGTGCGCATCTGGCGCACAAACTCCCAAAACGACTCGACTTTCTCCTTGCAATCTGCATTCAGAACCACGGTGCACATTAGAACATGTTCGAAGACGAACCATGACCGCACTTCAACGCGAAGACTTACCCGCTGCCAACTTCTGCCCCATCTTAATCTTCACCCTCCTTGCCAAGTGCCACCGCGCGCGGAAACGAGCCGACCAGCGGAACGACGCGCGCCAATTGACCCCAGGCATCCGATGCTTCATATACTTCGCGCTCCACTTCTGGAGCATGTTGACAGAAACGGAGAGCCCCTTTGCTCGGTGGCTCAGGAACTGGCGGTAGACCGCCCGTTCCATAAACGGGTACTTCGCCTTGCGTCCTGCCCCCATGAGGCGACGGCGGCATCCGGAAGCGACCTCCAGTCGTTCCCTCATCTTTTTCCAGTCACGAATCTGGCAGGGTTGCACCTTTGCGAGCTTGGCAAGAGCTCGATTCGACAGGTCCGGCTGAAATTCTTGCATCTTCAGCCAGTGAAGCTTCTCTTTCGCGGTGTACGAGTGACGAACGCGTTTCGTCATACGATGCCGCGGGGAAGGAGGCTCTGCATCCGCGTTGCGCTTCACTTGTCCCTGCGGGCGATTATGTTGCGGAAAAGTGGGGACAGCCACTCGGGGAAGAGGAGGCCGAGGACGGTCTGCGTTACTGCTCGGTTCATCCTCGGTAGAGCCACTGGCTGCAGGAGACGACTGAGGCATGTAGGGGCGAGGAGTCGGGCGTGCGCGTGCAGCAGCGGGAGACGGAGTGTAAACAGGCCGGTGCCGTCTAACTACCGTACTGCTGGAATCTGGAGAGGTTGCCATCTAAACCTATTGCAGGTTGGTGTCACTGGCCATAGCTAAACTGCGTTTAAACTAACGAAGTAGCGACAGGGAAAGAAGCGCACTTATAGCCTGCCGAGCACAACACAGATTCGAGCAATGGAGCCGCTGCATAAACGAAAGATGAGAGTCGTTTGAGGGAGAGGGACGTGACCAAAACGGGCACGACGTGACCGAAACAATGACAACGCAGCACAGTGAAGAATTCCAGCCTCGGAGGGCCCATGCAACCTCGCCGCGCGATGCTAGCACTGTTTTCACCCAATCAGGGCCAGAGGTGGCCCATTGGGACTTGCCATGTGGCAGGTTATAGTGGGGGGTTGCATTATCGTCGCATACTCGATTTCGCTCGCGCAAACACCATTTTCCCAGTCAAGTAAGAACCCTGTTTTTCTTTCCAATCAATTCTGCTTAAAAAAACATGTGCTATATATATGAACCCGGGTGTTATGTAGCTTTTGCCATTGAGAAGACCCCCCCCATTTTTTCACTGGATTTAAAGTAAGACCCTAGGGTGTTATATCCGGGTGATTACGGTAGTTTTTTCCGGTCAGGTGTTTCCAGTGGCTTGCGAATTTGTGGCACGTGGGTGTATGTGGAGCCGAGTTCTGTGATGTTGCAATAACTTTCCTGTTGGAGGGACGGAGGGGCGGAAAGTGCCCGCAACTAGCACTGTAGTTCCCTGGAAAGCGCAGGGTCGCTAGTAGTACCCCCGCCAAAGCTACTTACCCTGCAACCGACAACGTGAACACCGTGGCGCCACCACGTGTTGGTCAGTGAGTTGTGTGGCTTATCAAGCCGAATCTGGTCAAGTTCTTTCACCCACTCCCGGCGCAATCATGCGATATCTGATTGGTCGTTACATCTCGAGCATCAAACTGACGCAACTGTTTCGGAAGTTGCATATAGTAACAAACCGATAACAATTAAATCAGCAATAACATACTTCATGGTGTGAATCGCCCTAACAATTCAGTGCTTATTCTGCACGATCGATTCTCGGATTCTCTAGAAATGAAAGACAGCACATACTCTGTGCCCCTCGCTACCCTCATGGGCATAGGCCCAAGCCTGCTGGTGACTCAGCCTGCCAAATCATCCACCCTCGCTGTACCCTCACACACATTTGGCGCGATACGGTGGTCTCGATGCCTGCTTTGCCACCTTGCGTGATGACCTGAGAGTGGCCCCATTTGTTGTGACCTTTGAGTCGACTCAAAGGTCACCCTCACTGCCCCCATCCATCACACACACTTGGCACGATACAGTGGTCTGGACGCCTGCTTTGCCGCCTTGCGCGATAATCTATGAGCGGTCTCATTCGCTCTGTCCCTCCCTCCCGCTTCTCCCTTCCCATCCCTCATGCCTCGCACCGAGGCCTGCTGGTGAATCCCTGCCACCTCATCTGCCCGCGACGCAAACACCAAGTCATGAAAATTCTTCCCTGACCTCCTCTCTCCCTCCGCTTTCTTATCCCCTTTTCCCTGCTTCACCCCCTTGCCACATCCCTCCCTGCTCGCTTCCCCGTCCCTTCTCCCCTCATCCTCCCCTTCCGTAACCTCCCCTGCCTCCCCCATCTCCCTCATCATCTTACTCTCCTCAATCTGCTTCTTTCTGAACCACTCATGCGCTGCCACGTGTGCAGCTGCCATGTCATCGCTGTACAGAGCAACCTTCACCATAGTCACAAGCCGCCTACTCCACCGCTTTGTCAGAATCTGCTCGCTATTGGCCACCAGCTTCAGGCACGGATGCCCTGGAATTTCCTCAGGCACATACTCCTCTCGGGCAGCAGGGTAAAAGTAAACGAGCCGCCCGCCAATGACGAGCAGCCGGGCAGCCGTGTCTAAAAGATCGTGTAGGCACTCTTCGAGTGAGTAAGGGGCGGTGGAGGGGATGTGGGCAGCTTTCAGGTTGTCTGCTATGGAGTACGGGTCGGTCACCCCGTTGAGAATTTTCCTCCCGCCCGACTTTCGGCCGCCTGCCCGGACACCATACGGAGGATCACAAATGATGGCATGGAACATCTGGAGATGGGGGAGGGAACCAAGGGAAAGAAGAGGGAGCAAAGTATGCCCAGAGTTTCAGCATCATCCGGGCCGCCTGCCCCGACGCCGTAGGGAGGATCACAGATGATGGCATGGAACATCTGGAGGTGGGGGAGGAAACCAAGGGGAGAGAAACATATGGATATATATTTGGGAGGTTGGTGAAGAAAGGAATCAAACAAAGCATTGCTGTGAAGTTGTACGCCCGGGGTTTTGACCGCCTCCAATATGCCGTAGGGAGGAGCAGTGGGGGAGAAACATGGATCAATTTCGGAGAAGGGAGCAAAAAGGGTTTCACGAAGCCGAGGTGAAGTAGGGAAGGCAACTTTTGTCCGCTCCCTGTAAGTGGGAATGGGAAGTACACTCAGAAAGGAACGTAATTACCGACTCACATGCTTGCCTGCTGAAAAGTTCAACAAATGGTGATAAAAGACCAGGGCGGTGGGCGCTCAAGAATCTGAAAGATTGTGTTGAGTAAACCTCTTGAGCTAGGAGCAAGAGGGGCACTCACCTCTCGTACTTCCTGCCTCCAGGGAAGGCAACTTTTGTCCGCTCACACATTATTTTGAGGAGCCTGAGAAATCGTCTCATTCTTTAGCTGCCTAAAATAAACGTCGCAGTTTTGAGGCTCCTAACAAGCTCACCTCTCTTAGGTCTTGCCTCCAGGGAGGGCAGTTGTTGTCCGCCCGCAGTAACCCCACTGGTGGTTGAAGCGAGTACTGCAAGGGAGAATCGGGAGAGGGAGGAGAGGGAAGGAGGGGATAGAGGAAAGGGGTAGTGAGAGGGGTGGGAAAAATCGAGGAGGGAAGTTGTTGTCATCCCACAGTAACCCCACTGGTGGTTGAAGCGAGTACTGCAAGAGGAAGAGAGGGGAGGGAATGAGAGGGAAGGAGAGACTGGGAATGAGGGAATGGGGAAAACGGGGTCAGCAAGTGGAATCGGAGGAGAGGGGGCGTATCGTGGCGATGGCTAAAGAGTTGACTCACCTGGTGCACACATTACTGACAATGCCCGCAATACTCATACAGTGACTGCACACTGAAAGGCGCATACGGTGGCTGCACACTGAAAGGCGCATACGGTGGCTGCACACTGAACGCTCACCTGGTGGAAGTTGGCCCACACGTCCCGATTGGGGCCCTTGCCATCCCTCACCACCCTGATGTCTATGTCCGCTCCCTACAGGTGGTGGTGGGGGTGGGGGGAGAGGGGGGGGAAGGAAGTGAGGAGCGAGGGTGGGGTAGTGAAGTGTGGAGATGTGGTTGTATGAACACTAGTCACATCCCCTTGCCATCCCGCACCACCCTGATGTCTATGTCCGCTCCCTGCAGGTGGTGGTGGTGTGCGGGGGGGGGGGGGAAGGGAGGGGAAAGGGGGAGAGTGCGTATATAAGAAGTCGATTGGGGCCCTTGCCGTCCCTCACCACCCTGATGTCTATGTCCGCTCCCTACAGGTGGTTGGGGGGGGGGGGGGGGGGGGGGGAAGTGAGGAGCGAGGGTGGGGGAGTGAGGTGTGGAGACTTGGTTGTACGCACTACTCACATCCCCTTGCCATCCCGCACCACCCGGATGCCAATGTCTGCTCCCTACAGGTGGTGGTGGGAGGGAAGAGAGGGGTGGTGGAGGAATGAGGAGTGAGGGTGTGGTAAGGAGACAAGATGGGTGTGGTAAGGAGACAAGATGCGTGTGGGTGCACCACAGTCACCCCTTGCCGTCCCGCACCACCCTCATGTCAATGTCCGCCCCCTGAGTGTGGTGGTAAGGAGGGGTGCAGTTGGGGAAATGGGGGCGAGTTGACCGTTGAATCATCTCAGAAGTCGATTTGATTTGAGTCACCCCTTGCCGTCGCGCACCACCTGGATGTCAATGTCCGCTCCCTGATGGTGGTGGAGAGGGGGGGAGGAGGGGGAGAGGAGGAGTGAGGTGTGGAGATGTGGTTGTGTGCGCCACACACATCCCCTTGCCGTCGCGTCGCGCACCACCTGGATGTCAATGTCCGCTCCCTACAGGTGGTGGAGAAGGGGGGAGAGGGAGTGGCGCGGTGGGGCAGTGGGGGAAAGAGGCAGCATTGGTGTGAGCTGCACTGCCAACATTCCCTTGCCATCCCGCACCACCCTGGTGTCAACGTCCGCTCCCTGGGGGTGGCAGTGGGGGAGAGAGAGAGCGGGGGTGTGGTAAGGAGACAGGAGTGGGGGTGTGGCAGTGGCAGCACGCACACCCCCTTGCCATCCCCCGTGCCCACAACAAATGGGTCGTACATGAGAGCCCCTTTGCCATGTGCTACTCGTATGATGACTCATCTGAATGTGACTCTCACCAGAGTGACAGCGCCAAAGTGAGCAGCGGGCACGTGGATGCTCCCCGTGCCCACGAACGGATCGTACATGAGCGCTCCGCGCAGCTCCACACACAATATTCTGATGTGGTTGTAACATCGTACGTGATAATGAGTGACTCTCACCAGAGTGATGGCGCCGAAGTGAGCAGCAGCCACCAGGATACTCCCTGTCCCCACGAACGGGTCGTACATGAGAGCCCCCCGCCGCGCCAGCGCCTGATTGGCCATGAGCAGCGACAGCTCAGCATCCATGGCGGTGGGACCCAGGTAGCGGCGGCGACTGAGCTCGTACTTCGTGGCAACGGTCCGGTCTGATACCGCTACCTGTGTAGGTAGGGAGGGAGGGAAACATGAGCAGCGACAGCTCAGCGTACATAGCTGTGGGGCCCAGGTACTGGCGGCGACTGAGCTCGTACTTGGTGGCCACTGTGCGGTCTGACACTGCCACCTGTGAGTGTTGAGAGGGGGGAGATATGTGAGGAAGGAGGGAAACGTGCGAGACAGCAGAGGGGATTTTCAAGGTGCTGTCGGCGGCTGAGCTCGGGCTTTGTTGCCACTGTGCGATCCGCTACTGCCACCTGTGGTTGTGGGTGTGGAGGGAGATCAGGAGGGAAGGGGGGGAACGTGTGAGACAGAAGAGTGGGCCCAGGTGGCGCCGGCGACTGAGCTCGCTGCTCGTACTTTGTTGCCACTGTGCGGTCTGATACTGCCACCTGTGAGTGGGCAGGGGAGGGAGGGGGGAAGCACAGCAGCAGAAACTGTGGGTAAGGAGGGAGGGGCTACCTGTGGGTAAGGAGGGAGGGGCTACCTGTGGGTAAGGAGGGAGGGGGGGGGCAGTGACCCTGTGCAGCCAGGAAAGTGCAAAAAGCAGTAGCTCTGCTTCCATGACAGACGGGATGGGCGGGGCGACTACCTGCAGTGGGGCGACTACCTGCAGTGGGGCGACTAACAGGCACCTCTCCTCGCTCTCACGCACTTCTCCTCCCTCGCACACACCTCTCCTCCCCCGCACGCACCTCTCGGCCAATGAACACGCACCTCTCGGCCAATGAACACGCACCTCTCGGCCAATGAACACGCACCTCTCGGCCAATGAACACACGCAAGGGCATGTTGGGGGGGAGGCCGTTGTTGGTGCATTCTGCGGCCTGCTCTATCACCCAGAACTTGTACTCGGGCGAGCTCAGCTTCACCTTGCCCTGCCAAGTTGAAGGGGGGACAGGGCAGGAAAAAACGAGTAAAGAGGATAGGCAGAGAGAGTGGGTTGCTGTTGGTTGGTGTAGTCTGCTGCCTGCTCTATTACCCACGACTTGTCATCGGGCGCGCTCAGCTTCACCCGACCCTGCCAAGCGTATGGGGAGATGGAACAGGGTAAAGTGAGGGCAATGAAGGCAGGCAGAGGGAGATAGGGCGGGGAGTGGGGGGGGTGGGTGGGGGGTGGGGGGTGCTGTGCTGTTGGTGTTGTTTGCTGCCTGCTCTATCACCCAGAACTTGTGGTCTGGCGCGCTCAGCTTCACCTTACCCTGCCAAGCGTACTTAGGACTAGGGCAGGCAGTAGTGCGTTAGAGCGGGAGCTCAGCCCCACTCGGCCCTGTGACACGAAAAGGGGGATGTGGCAGAAGCAACCGAGGGTAGCGAGGGCAGGCAGGCAGGCAAAGGGGGGGGGGGGGGGGTGGGGGGAAGAGAAGGAAGGGGGGTTGCTGGTGCTGTCTGCAGCTGCCAGCTCTATCATGCCTTCCCCCAAACCATGCGGTTTGGCGCGCTCAGCTTCATTCAGCCCTGCCTGCCATGCCAAGGTAAGGGGGGATGGGGAGGGGGATGGGGATGGGGATGGGGAGGGGACACGTGAGGCAACAGAGTGGACCGGGTCACGACCAGCCCCTCAGCTGATACTTCATGGTCCAATACGGCTACCTGCGGGTGTGGACAGTGGAAGGAAGGAGGACAGCAAAGTACTTGCCATGCCAAGGTAAAGTGGGGATGGGAGGAGCAAAACGGAAGGAGGGAAGACATGAGGGGGTGCTTCTCGCTGCTGCCGCTGGCTGCCTGCTCTATCACCCAAAGCTGACCTCGAAGAGGATGTGTCGGGCCGTAGCAAGGAGAGAAGATCCTTTTAGGCACCAAGCACGCCACAACCAGCCGGACAGACGAGTTCGGGACGATTGATTGCAAGAGCCTGTGAGGAATCCAAACCACCCACCCACCTGGAAGGGGATGTACGTGAATCGCTCTATGCGATCCCGCTGCTCCTCCATCGAAAAGAGCTTGCCAAAGCCATCAACAACGATCTTGAACGTGTAGCCGGGGGCTGTGAAGGGCGTCACCTTGGAAGCCAGGTTCGCCTGCACCTGCGGCTTTAGGGCCTCGTAGGTTGGCGCCTCCGCCCATATGTCGAATATCCCCTTTATAAGCAGGCCTAGGGGGGGTAGGAGGTGGAGAGGAGGGGAAGAGGACAGGAGTGGGATGTTGAGATGGGAGAAGGGAAGGAGAGAGTGTGGGAGAAGGAATTGTCACGAGCTTAGCCTCCAAGCAAACAGTGGGTGCGGAGATAGGAAGGGAGGAATGGGGAGTGTGTAGAGATCACATCCAGCAGGCAAGAGTCTGTGATGATGGGGAGCAAAGGGCACGTGATGGAGTGGCAAACATGGGAGTCGGAATGAGGAGCCATGGCACGTGCGAGGGCGTATGGTCGTTGATTCAGCGTCAGCCAATAAAACGATTCCATCCGAACTCCCAAAACCCCTCCAACAGACGAATAAAAAAACTCTGAGCCCTGCAAGCTGGAAACCCCCCCCTTTCAACCACAATTCTCGTCCATCGTCCGCGAAACTAGAGGTGCGCCTTATGATCGCCTAACCCCTGAACCTCTACGAGCCAATCGCTAAACCCTAGAAGCGGAAATGCCTCTTCTCGACTGTAGGGTTTAGAGAGTCGACTTTCTCAACTGCTAAAATGAGGGCGGCGAGAATTCGGACCTCGAAGCTTCGTAGTGACTCGGATCCGTGCATATAAGAAGGCCATTCTAACAGGAAAAGAAGGTCTGGCAAGGCACTGGCTGCTTAAGTCCTGCGAGCTTTTTGTCAGCCTAGTATTTTCTATGTAGGCGCCTAGCGACTGCGTGACTCAGGAAATCGTGTTGATCGCCGACTCACTTCTAGAGGCCATTTGCCTCGCCACGTCATCAGACGGCAGATCCACGTAGAAGAACGGCGAGTCCATGTGATCGCCACGTGGCTTCCTCCATCTTACTGGCTCCCACTCGCTCTCCCCTCCTCCTGATATTTCATCCTCATCCTCTCCCCTTTCGACTGCAGTAACTGCACTCCCCTCTTCTCCCCTCCTCGTCTCCTCGCTGCCTTCGTCTCCCCTCACTTCCTCAACCACCCTCTCCCCTTCGTTTCCCTTCTCTCCGCCTCGTTCTCCCTCCGATGAATCCGAGCTGGCAGGCGGCCGCAATTCCACGTCATCGTGACGTGGCGCGGCGTGCTGAGCTGGCGGCTGCACGCCAGCGAGGACGGCGAGGGACTGCAGCTCGTCGAGGCGGAAGTCGAGGTGGCGATGCATGAAATACGCCAAGTACCACATCGTACCTTGCCGTTACCACCAGGTAGGTACGAGAATGAAATGCTGCTGCTGCTGCTGGTGAGATTGGCCTGCACTTGCTGCAGCCGCTGCTGCTGCTGTCGGGCTGCTTATGCTGAAAGTTACACCGTTATCAGGTACGGTACTAAATTATTGCTGAGGTAACGGCGGTTTCAGCTGTCGAGGTAAGGGCGTGTGCCTTTTTTGCTCCCGACGGTTCGAAACGTGGACCGTCCGATTTGCAAAAATGTTACCCGTTTCGTCACTTGTCGTGAATGTTTCGTGAAGGTGTTGGCGACGTCGCCAGCGGTTCGAACCGTCGCGTCACTTTTTCCTCCAAGCAACGGTTCACATTCTGAACTTTTGGCAGTTCGAATTGCAAACGGACGGAGGCACAGTTCTGACACTGGATTGGCGCGCGAAGGTCTCGAAAAACAAAAACCGAGCCGCATGTACAATTTATTTGAGGACCGCGCCTCGCGACTGAACATTGAACGTTCACATCACCCCCTAGCCCACCAACAGTACAAAGGCCCCAGCAATCCGAACTGAACCCTCACACTCAGCCTGCAATGGAGCACTCAAGCGCAGATGACAACTCTGAACCGGCCAACACCACCCCGAACACCTCTAGTCAAGTCCCCATGCTGAACCCCCGCTCCCTCTAGATCTGTTCGATGTGTCGAGTTGTGTGGTGAGCTGGGTTGGTGTGAAATGTTTGAAATCGAGCCGCCGTGTGGTGAGCGAAACTGGCGAGAGTGTGTGACTGGGGTTACGATGGTACAGTAGCTCTAGCGAGTGCACAGTACTTCGGTAGTTTCAGATGTAGAGAAAAGTCACGTTTTTGCCTTCGGACAGTCTGCAGTTTCGAATTTTCGAAATGGACTGTCCGGTACCCGCTATTGGGACCGTCCGCTTCGATCAAGTGGACTGTCCGCGAAAACACAAAAAAATCAAAAAAGGCACACGCCCTAAGTGGCTCGTCACGGCTATTGCGACAGTGCTTGAGTTGGTTGTTGGTCACGAACTGAACGCGCGGCGCCTCGTAGGGAGAGGTGGGAATGAGGGTAGTGAGGCAGTGAGGGAAGGAAGGATCCGCCTTAAAGACTGATTTCCGGAAAATGACAGTACAAGGAAATAACTCTTACCGGTAACAAATCGGCAATAGAAGAGAGAAACCCAGCAAAAAAAAAACCGTCTACAAAATGGAAGTGGGTCTATTTCAGTTCCGCCAGTTAAGAATATTGATTTATTTGAAAAAAATAGTGTATTATTCATCACGAAATAAATAACAAGGATTTTTCGTGCAGCCCGCCGCACGCGCTGCCCGTCAGCGCACTACTGGCCCCGTTCCGTGCAGCCTAACGCCAGTGGCATCCGCACCTGCTGTGATGGGGAGGTGGCTGGAGTGTACCCGCTAGCGGCATCCGCACCTCCTCTCTCTTCTCTCTCCCCGCAGCGCCTGTCGCTGTTGGGGAAGGGGGGAAGGGTGAGGAGGTGGTGGGAGAGATTGTGCCGCACCAGCAGCTGCCCCTCCTCTCTCTCTCTCACTGCCGCACATGCCGCTGTGGGGGGGAGGGTGAGGGGGTGGCAGGAGTCAGCCAGGCATCTGCAGCTGCCACCCGCTGCAACCGTGGCACCTCCAGCTGCCGCCCCTGCTGCCATCTGCACCTACTGCTGCTGCCTGCTGCTGGTGAGCGCGGTTGCTGCCGTTGAGCCCTGCTGTGCCGCCGCCTGTTGCCGCCGGACGCACTCCCTCTCCAGACGCCCTGCTGCCCTGCACCCGCTGCTGCTGCATCTGCCGTGGCTGAAAATTTTCTGCAGCTAAATCTGCCACCACTGCATTGGCTGCCACTCCTATTTCCTGCTGCTGCTGCTTCTGCTGCCTGTTGTAGCCCTTCAGGGGGTGTGAATTGCTCTAGCTTTGTGTTGCAGGCAGTTAGGGGGTGTGTCGTAATATATATTTTCATATATATCTATAACTGCCTGTAGCTTTAGCTCTAGTGTAGTTATACAAACCATGTTGGTGGTGCACCTCTTATTTCATGTTTCTCGCCTATACTGTATCTTGTACCCTCATAGTGAACCTCTTTGGCCAACTCTTGTTCCTCTCAATACTCTCACCATGACTCCTAAGATTCCCAAACCTAACCAAGCCTAAGCCTAGCCTATTTTGACATGCGGGGGGGCAGAGACAAGGAGACGAAAGTGCATGCGACACAGACGCTGCAGGGAGGGGTGACCAAGACGGTGGTGCCAGAGGAGCGACGGGTGCGGTGAGTAACCGACACGAGCAAGACGCATCTACCTGACCTGACGCAGCCACATGAGCAGATTCAGTGTGTTGTGTGTACAGTCCAGACCCAGGCCGATGTGTGAACATAGCCAAATGGTCTCCAGTCACCGTGTCCGTACAGCTCGCCACGAGCTCGCCTCCAGGAGTGGTGGTTGTGACCATCATGTACTGTAGGATGCGAGTACTCACCAAGTTCGTAGCGAACGAGGGGATGTGGAGACCTGTGAGGGAACTAGAGGGGGTTGCCGGACACGGGAGAACACTGGAGATGCGTGCAAGGACAGGGCTAGTGGAGGGGTTGCGCGTTGCGCACTATCAGAATAGTAGACTAGGAATGTTAGATTTAGTGAAGAGGGGGATACAAGCAAATTATCGAGAGTATTTGTGTACCCCCTAAGCATCTTACTACAACCTAGACACTAATCTTAATATAATCTGACACACCCCCAAAGGCTAAGTGAGGGACATCAAAAAGATCAAGACAAGCAAGTGGTCACAAGACCAGTCAAGAGAAGAAACACAGTAAGCTCAGGGTGGATCATGAAGTCAACACACAGTCTGAGCATAGGCAAGCGGCCACAAGGTCAGTCCAGATGCAGTGATAGAGTAGAACAACTAGTACAGTGACCACAACCTAGCAAGAGTAAGCATGCAAGTATATATATAGATCACGGTACAAGGCAAAGTCAAGAGACAAGCAAGTGAGACAGAATAGACACAAGGCCTAGAGCAGTGCAGAAACGCTGATGATCACCAAACCCTAGGGCCTTGGTGAAGATATGAGCAGTGTTGGCCTGGGAAACCACATAAGCAAGGTGAAGCTGACTACGCTGCTGCAACTCTCGAGCGATAAAGTCACGAAGAGCAATGCTTTGTTTTGTGCCCCAGTCTCTCCTTGCGACACAAGGCAATCATCACCTTGTTATCGACATACAGAAGTGGAGGAGAACGAGGTCGCTCACCCAAGTCAGTCAAGCAAGGTCAACCAGCGTAACTCTTGCGCAGCCATAGCCCCAGCGTAGATCTCGGCCTCACAGCTGGAACTAAGCATAGAAGACAAGCGAATGGACTGTGAAGAAAGGAAATTGAACCATTAACTTGATTAGGAAAATTGGCAAGCATACATAGGTTTGGGAAGAGAAGGTTGGAAGGGAAAGGAGGGAGGTGGGAATTGGGGGGAGTGGGCCAACCTATGGCCCATTGGGTTGGGTTGACCACACTTGGGGGAGTGGGCCAACCTATGGCCCAATGGGTTGGGTTGACCACACTTGGAAAGTGGGGCAACCTATGGCCCATTGGGTTGGGTTGCCTCACTTTGTGAAGTGGGGCAACCTATGGCCCATAGGGTTGCATTTGGGGGCTCCACCACAATTGGGTTAGATTGGCACCCCAAAATGCAAGACTACACCCAAAAGTTGGGTGTAGTCCCAACCCAACAATACACCACAATTGGTGACAGTCACAAGTGTTAGCATGCTAGAACATGGGAATTCTAACACAACCCCTTAGGATGCGAACACCAGGAAGGGAGCAACCCCTGAATCAAGGGGCGCCCGGGCGAGCAAGGCCGATGAGGCGGAGGGGAGCAGAGTGCGCAGGGCGAAGGAGAGCCTTGGTGAAGATGTCGGCCAAGTTGGCCTCGGCAGCAATCTTGCGGACTGCAAGCAAGGCCGCGCTGGATGAGTTCACGGATGAAGAATTAGCGGGAGTTCGATGTGCTTTGGAGCGGGCGTGGTAGACAGGGTCCTGATGAGGTGGATGGTGCTGGCGTTGTCACACCAGAGGGTGGGGCAGGGCCTGAGGAGCGCAAGCTCAGAAAGAAGAAAGCAGAGCCAGCGGGACTCCTAGGCGGCCATGGTGCCAGCGTAGAGCTCAGCCTCTCAGGAGGATGAGGGAAACGGAAGGAGGAGCGTGTTGGAGCGCCAGCTAACAAGGCCACTGCCGAGGGTGAAGCCGTAGCCTTGAGAGGAGCGGCGGTCGGGCTTGCGAGTCGGCCCTAGGAGGAGTCGCTAAAGCCCAAAAGGAGGGTGAAGGGGAGGAGCCACCAAGAGTGAGGGTGTGGTCCTTGGTGCCGCGAAGGTAGCGGAGGACCCTCTTAGCAGCTTTCCAGTGCACCTCGGTGTGGCGACCAGTGCCAACAAAACGAGCAAGCACGCTGATGGGGTAGGCGAGGTCGGGACGGGTGCACATCATAGCGTACATCAGCGACTCAACGAGCTCAGCATAAGGGTGAGAGGAGGAGGAGGGCGAGGTGGGCGAGCAAGCTGGGTGGCCGAAAGGGAGGGGGGGTGGCTATGGGAATGGCCTGAGTCATCTCGATTTCTCCAAGATCTGGCCGATGTAATGAGACTGGGAGAGGGTGATGGTGCGAGCGGGACGGTCCAGAGTGATAGCCATGCCAAGGTAGTGGGTGAGGTCGCCCAGGTCCTTGCACTTTGAGGCGCTGCTTGCAGCTGCTGCTTCATCTGCGCCATGTCAGGTCTTGGAGTCAGCGAGCAGGATCATGTCATCCACATACACCAGAATGAAGAAGCGGCGAGGGGAGGAGCGAAGGAAGAGACTGGCGTCAGAATGGGAGGCAGAGAAGCCAAGGGATCCCAGGGTGGCAGACAGCTTCGCATGCCACTCCCGAGGTGCCTGCTTCAGACCGTAGACAGGTCTACGCAGTTGCCACACAGTGTTTTCTGGAAAGGCGGCGTGGGAACCC